CAGTGCATGCAATGCCAAGTATGCATAACAGAGCCTTTAAGGCGGCTTCACCGTTCGTGTCCGGACAACTTTTTATTTGCTCTCAAACATTTTTGCCGGAGAGGGTGCTGAAGTACGGTGCACCGTTCAGTTCGACACATTTTATTTTGTTCTGAAGCAAACAGCAGATTATATTGTTGCCTACATACGATTTTGAGGGCAAATAATACATGCAATTCACTGCAAACGCATAAAAAGGAGAACGCGGCAACCCGAATCATCAAGTCCTTCGGACAGAAAATCTAAATCAACTTAATTCGAACAAAGAGAGTTCGGCACATTTTTGTCGCGCTCTCAGTGAGACAGAGTGGGAAAGGGACGCGTAAAATTACTAACAAAAAGTGTCCGGACACGAATGGTGAATTCGCCTTAAAATGCTGGCCAACAGGGAAAATGCGCAAAACTTTATTTATTTATTTATTTGTATATAGTCTATAGAATTCAATTTTTACAGACTAATTAGAACTATTAAAATAACACTGGATCACAAATTTTAGTTTGGTTTTTATTCTCCAGACGCCACTATCCAATTTCTATGTAGAATTGCTCGGTGATGCCGAAAATCGGGCTATTGCGAATTTTTTCCAGTGCAGCCTTTGGAGTTGTTCTCAGTACTCCTGTTTTACTAAATAGAGGGAGATGTTAAACACCCTCTATTGTCTTGAGATAAGTGCTCTTTTCTGTCGCGGTCCACCACACTACAGCGCCATAAGTAGTATTGGTCTCACTACTGCTGTGTAGCAATGCATTAGGGCAGAGGATAGGCCCCAAGTAACACCTAGCATCTTTTTGCATGCGTAGAGGGCAATACTCGCTTTCTTCACTCTGTCCTCCACATTGTACCTCCACAGCAGTTTGCAGTCCAGGATTATTCCTGGGTACTTGGTGCGGTCTTTTGGTTTGAGTTCAGTGCCGTTCAGTTTAGGGAAATTCCGCGCAGGAATCTTGTACTTTCTTGTAAAAACTAGCATGCCCGTTTTGTCTGCATTAATCCCTAAACCTTCGCGAGTAGTCCGTTGGTGTATAGTATTGAGAGCTCCATTAATTATACCACTTATGGTATCTAGGTATTTAGCGGTCACCATTACCGCAATGGCATCAGCATATGCAACTAGTTTGAGCGCCCTAGCTTCAAATTTATTTAGTAGGTCGTTTACCACAAGCAGCCATAGGATCGGTGAGAGCACCGCTCCCTGTGGTGTGCCCTTTACCGCCTGCGTGGTCAGCCTGGCTTCACCCCATTCTGCTCTAATTCGTCTACAGCCTAAAACGGTTTTTATCCATAGAAGAATACCAGGTTACACGTTGTTTGCTTGTATGCTACCTAGAATAGCCTATCTTGATACGTTGTTAAAAGCTCCGGCGTTGTCTAAGAACACACCTAAAGCGTAGGCCTACTGTTCCAGCGTTCTTTCTATATGCGTGCAGTCTCTGTCGATCTTCCTTTTGTGTATGCGTGTTGCGCTTTTGATAGACTGCCTTGCGTTATCCTGCCTCTTATGTGTGTGCCTAGGATTTTCTCGTGCGTTTTTAGGACGAATGAAGTTAAACTGATGGTTCTGTATTCTTTCGAGTACAGAGGGTTGGCCTTACTTCCCTTGGGTATGAACACAACTCTCGAATCTCTCCAGTGCACAGGCACATTGTCCATCCTCAGACATCCCATGTACATCGCCTCTAGCCATGGTATCGCTACGTGAGTGACCTTCTGAATCATGACCGGGAAAATTCCATCAGCTCCAGGCGAATTGAAGGGATCAAAACTGTTTATTCCCCATTCAATTTTGCTTGTTGTAATAATGTTAGGTGGGATGTCATTTACGTTATCTTTTCCAGATTCCATGTCTGTCACGTCTACACATCCTGAAAAGTGCATATCGACTAGGACCTGAAGCGATTCTTCTCAGCTTTCAGTCCATTCATAATCCTTTCTGCGTATTAATATTGGCGTGGACGGTTGCTTGGATAGTAGCTTCCCTAACCTTGCTACTTTGTTTGCTTTATCCATGCTGCCGCAGAAGGCCTTCTCCGATTGCTTCTTGGACCTACGGATTTCTTTCTTATAGCCTTTTAAGAGGTATTTGTACTCCTCCCACAAAAACTCATTATCTGCTGCCTAAGACAGCTTGAAGAGTTCACGTACTTCGCGCCTGTGCTTTCCAAGCTCCATGTTCCACCACGCGGGATTGGATTTGCGGTTAGAACGCGCTTTTCAGAGAGCCGTGGTTATTAATACCACATTCTCTTCGATCTCAGCGTGCGTGTTGAGCTCTTTTATCTCGAATCGTTTCCCCTCTACAATCTTCCTATAGAGATCCCAGTTTATGTTCCTTGGGTTCCTCGGGGTCGTCATTTTGGGATTGAGGGAGAAAGAAATATTGAATTCGATGTACTTATGATCAGAGAATGGAGGTGGGTCCAACATATTTTGGCTCACTACCTCGGTTCGCTACCTCTAGACTACTTTGAATAATAAAATTGAGTAGAGGCTCACCTCTTTCATTGATGTCCGCGCTCCCCCAACCAGTGTGGTGCGAGTTTGAGTCGGATCCGACCACCATCTTCTGCATCTTCTTCGTGACACATGTAGCATGATGCGAGAAGTAGTGCTTCCTTCTTTGCATTCATAAGTGTCACTACGGTTAAATCTTCTGTGGAAAGATTACTATTAATATAAGAGTTTATACTTTTTTGAACCAGTGCCGGCGTTCTTAACATTTTGTCTGCACTCGGGGTGTATGTTTAGTAATTTTGTGACTTTGGTCCTGAGCTGCAACTAGCAGAATAAAGGAGAAGCCGGTTTTTTGTACACTGTTTTCGTATTAATATTTGGTGCAAAATAATCGAAAGGGGTATCATAAAAAACCGCCAGATTTTAGTTCACTTTGTCAGTACTAAATTCACGTTAATAAATGCATTAATTGAACACATATTGGTATATAGATATTCACTATAGTTCACTTTAATTGTATTTGTAACGAAAAATTGCGAAAATTAACGATTTAGTGAAATATTAAAGCGAAAAAATGTACGAAAAACCAGCGTCTCCTTTGTTGCAGATAGTTGTAATAAAAATATCGAGTTGCTTAGTGTTGCCAATATATTACTATTATAAAAGGCTTTAATTAGTGATGCCAATAACAAAAAAAGCGAGATTTTACTTTTAGTAATTATTTTAATAATTTGTAATAAAAAAATGTTACTGGTGTTTTAGGTGGCCGAAGGCCGCCTACGCTGAAAGAAGTTCTGCCACTCTTCTCCGGCAACACAGAAAGGATAATTCTGCATATTCAGTAAGGGTTGTGATCCTTAAGCGGAGCCAAATGCCGCCTACGTAGAGAGAAATTCTGGCACTCTTCTCCGGTAACACAGAAAGAGAATTCTGAGCGCGGCCGAAGGCCGCCTACGCAAAAAGAAGTTCTGCCACTCTTCTCCGGCAATACAGAAAGGAGAATTCTGCGTAGTAGGGGTTATGAACCTTAAACGCGGCCGAAGGCCGCCTACGCAGAAAGAAGTTTTGCCACTCTTTTCCGGCAACACAGAAAGTAGGATTCTGCGTAATAATGGTTATCATCCCTAAGCGCGGCCAAAGGCCGCCTACGCAGAAAAAGGGACTGGCGGATTTTTTATTTATAAACAACTTAAAATCTTTCAACTTTTATTGTTATTGGCATCACTAGTTAAAACCTTCTCTAAAAGTAATATATTGGAAACACCAAGCACCGCCATGTTTTTATTACACCTAGCTGCAACTAGCAGAATAAAGGAGAAGCCGGTTTTTTGTACATTGTTTTCGTATTAATATTTAAATAAACCAATAAGATTCGCGATTTTTTTTTACAAATTTAGTTAGAGTAAACTACATATAGTGAACATCTTAGATACCAATATGTGTTTATTTAAAGCATTTATTAAATGAATTTAGTACTGACAAAGTTGAGCTGAATGAAACGGTTTTTTGCAAATAACTTTTGGACGGTTTAAAAAATCAGTTTCCGTCTTCGGATTCTTAATTACCGGTAGTAATACGCGTCTTTTGATACCCCTTTCGATTATTTTCCATAAATTTTCGGTGGGGACTATGATTACATGCACGATTACTGAGAACAATATTCTAGGCGACTCCTGACTAGTGAAATATAGAGTGATTTCAAATTAAATGGATCTTTAAACGCTCTAGTCTTCCTTATTATAAACCCCAACGAGTGTTGCCTTTGTAGCTCTTTGGTGGCTAGATTTAGCTACCACATACTTTTTTTGGCCACATAAATTTAAAATTGCCACTAGCCTTTTATTTAGCCCTTTGGAAAATTTATTTATCCTTGACATGAGATGGAAAGTTGTATATGCTTAATTTGCTCTAATTTTTTTCATTTATGAAGGGATGAATTTTTAAACTAAGAAAGACTGTGTGTATATGTATTGTATGTTCCCTTAAAAGTGCTCAAGTAGCACACTGGTGTATAACTTGGTGTATATTTATGAATTTTGGTACATATGTGTTTAGATTAAATAAAAGATAATATTTTGGTGTATTTGTCATCCCGCCAGTACTTCTTCTCAACTCAAAATTCTGCCTTTAACGTTTTGGTACTATTTATTCATTGAGATTAGTACGAAAACTGCACCAGCTCCTAAAATGCACCACTTTTTTTATTTGGTTCACAAATTACAAATTAATGCTAAAAAAGGTGTATTCTTTCCTTTAATACACACTATGTAACCCCGTATACATTTTATTCCTTCATTCAAATAAAAGAGACAGCACTTAAGTTAAAAAACATTAATTTTATTATTTCCGTTTTTATACATACATATTTTGCTAGACACTGAACTGTATCTATTTTAATGGAAATTTCTTAATGATAAATACATAAATAAACAGGGTAGGGTTTAGTATACATATCGTCATTTTAAGTACAAAACCTAAGAATGAAAACAAACAAAGAAAACGAAAAATGCGCGGTGGTTGAGTGCGATTATATTGGCATTTATCATCAAATATAATAACTGAAACTGAATAAAAATGAGGCAAAGGTGTTCATAAAATATGGTTTACCTGATAGAAAGTGTTTTGCAACCACGTAGCATCAGCACAGTTCGATTTTTTCTGACCGCAAAAGTGCACCCACTTTTCACGCAAATTTACGCCTCTTGGCAAACCAAACCAACGCACAAACTTGTTCAAATCACAAAGCACTTCATTTATATCATAAATTTGAAAGAAATCAAAATTTATAGTTTAAATCGCTGCAGAAAACACATCAAGTCGCTAAAAGATCACTATGAAGAGGTAGAAGACGATGTCAACAAAACCAAAGAACATCAAAAACGCTACGAAAACTATTTTCCGAAAATCGCCACGTATGCTGCTGACTCTGCCTATAAGCTAGAGATCTGAAAAATAAGAAAAAATACCAATTATCTCTTGATAATATGATAAGAATGTTTGTTTACAAAATTACCTCTTTCCGCAATTCCTGATAATTTCTGTGGGCAATTGACAATTGTCCAAAGAATTCACCAAAAAATGTATATTGAATACACCACACAGTAGCTTTGTTTCTTTACAGATATTTATCAATAGCAAGGCGAATTTACACAAGATAGTGTTATACCATGTTCGGACCGACAACGAAAATACTGTAAGCTGTTCGCACCGGCTGTTGGAGTTTTCGTTGACATTTCTTTCATCCTTTGTTTACAGTTTTGCTACGAAAAAACAAAACCATAATATTTTTCTTTCATTTTCTTATTATTAGCAACCTTTATCGTTTATTTATATTTTAATTTGGCCAGCCAATTGGCAATAAATCCCAACTAGCATATTAGAGATGATAAAATATGACTTACACTTCGATAAATATATCTAAAAAACAAGTGAAGACACCGATTGGAATGGGTGGAATGTGAGTTTTCAAGTAGTTTTCAGCGAAAACTGGTTTTCGTTTGACAGATTTTACAAGGACGAAAACACAAGTTTTAGGTCGAAAACCAGTCTTAGCAACTAAAACATGTTTTCGATGGCGGTCTGAACATGGTATTAGCCGTCAAGAATAATAGAATAAATTTCTCGTGTAAAAATAAACAAAACCGAAGGGAATGATAAAAGAAAATGTCAGAAGAGTCAATTATATTAATACTCCATTTTTCTATAGGAAATGAGTTTTAATTGCTTTAAATTGTGAAAATATGATTTGTAATAATTAATAAATAAAGTCTGCAAACTGTGGAAAACTGTGATTTTAGTGAAAATAGGCATAAGTGCAGAATACGGCCCGTTAAGCTAGAAAGAAACGAAGCAGTGGCGTTGTCCACCCTTTTTTTCTAATTCTAATGGTATAAAATTTTTTTGGTGCAAACTTATATTGCAGGTGCTATGGAGTGGGAAAGGGGCAATTTTCGTTTTATTTTTTTTCCCGTTCGTCTTCCTGATACTTATCTGCTACAAAAGTAAAGAAACAAAGCTAGTGTGTGTGTACTTAATACACCACGAGTTTGAATATGAGCCAGTGTTGCCATGGACAAATTTTGTTTCCTACCAAACTCAACCAAAACCTACCAAAATTGTATTTAAGTTTTTAGTATATTTTTGATGTCAAGTTTATTAAAAACGTAGATAACATAACATTTAGAAAAACCAAAATACAGCTAGTACAATAAAAACAAATTAACTACGCATAGACATTCACCTACCAAAATCCAATATAGCCAACCAACCTACCAAATGGAAAATAAACCTACCAGTTTTGATAGGAAAACCCCATGTTTGGCAACACTGATATGAGCTATTAAACATTCCACAAGTAGTGTCGCCATTAGCCTTACCATTTTGGTCAAATTGGTAGTTTTATTTTCCTTCGGTAGACAAAATTGTGTAGGGCTCTTCTGCATTGACTGAGTTCAGACACGGAAACTTTTGGCGCGGAACTGGTTACTTGTAGGATTGCATTCTACTGTTCTAGCGTAGTGTTCGTTTGTAAAAATTGTAAGCAAAATTGTCGATTGGCGATTATAAAAAGTTGCTGTTGATGTTGAAAAGCTCTAAAGTCTACTAAATGCTATATGTTCTATAGGTATCCATTGCATTTTCTTTTACTTTTTAGACATAAGATAATTGATATAAATTGAATTAATCTCAAAGATTAAAATTTTTACATAAAGTAAATATGAAACGAAATAAAATATCATGATCTGATGATACAAAAATTGGTTGTTTGGAAACTGATTTGGTAGGATTTTTGGAACGTAAAAATAACAGCAGTGGCAACATTGGTTGGTATGGTTAATACACCAATGGTGAGGATTTCTTTCACTGTTCTCAGCAAATTAAATATGCCGAAAAATATGTTTTGGTATATATAGTCATGGCAAACAAAATAGGGGCACGACATTTTGATTAGTTTTTGTTTTTGTTTGATTGATGATTATTATATTTTTTATTCAAAAAATACAGCTTATTATCTAACAAAAACCATATAAGTCGGAATTTGAAAATTGTAGAAAAATTATAAAAGCTCAAAAAGATTTTACAACAACGACAAAATTTTTATTACGAATGTACAAGTAGCTAAAAATTAACGTTGCTTTTACTTTAACTTTTTTGTCGGATTTACTTCCATATAACGAATAAACACAATCTATTTTTATATGGAAGAAAACCGCTACACGGTCAGCAAAAAATATCAAAAATCAACGCCTTTCTTGGTTACTTGTTGTTGTAAAATCTTGTTGAAAAAAGATTTTTATTAGATAATGAGCTGTATTTTTATAAAAAATACCAAAGATTAAGTAAACGAAAGAAAAAGAGCAAAGCTTGTCAAAATGTCGTGTCCCTATTATTTTTCACAATACTGTATTTCCCAACTGTGCATTGTTCGTCTTTTTTAATTGACAAGGTACATTTTTTATACCAAATTCTCAAATTGAATGGTGTAAATTGTGAATATTTCTAAGTCTAAGGAAAAATAAATACACCGTTCTTTTGGCTTGGTAAATATTTTGTACCAAACTCAAGAATCAGTGTAAGTTTTCTACGACGACCATATTTTCAAAGTATTATGAAGGTAAGGCTATGTTTACAACCTAGAGTAATGGCGTTGCGCGATGGATATCGCTCGATCAAAATTAGGCGTGTATTATTTGACAAGAAATTTAAGCTATTAGCTTATTTTGTGTGGAAGTCGTAGCCAATGTAGTGACTCCTTCGCCAGCATAATCGCTATCGATTAAAAAGCAGAAATGTTTAAAGTGTAGCAAAATTATACACGATTAAATATTAGGTTTTACCCACACGAGCCCGCGGCTACCCGCGGCTTTCCTCACTCTAGAAAAATGGGTAATAGAGAGCGCATACCTTCCACTTTTGGATCGTAAATGTCTTCTTCTTCGTGCCCGAAACAGCCCGGACTTTTTTTCCGGGCAGAAATGTGCAAGAAATCAATTTTAAATAACAGCTGTTGTTTGTTTACATCCGATGGCAAATTTTGTAAAATACAGAAATGCAAAATAGCACTAAAGGTTCGGAAATGTAGGTATCTGCTAATTTTATTAGCCACATATATAAGATAAATAAACATAAAATCATTGTTTACAACTGATTTCTTGATTCCGGGCACGAAAAGTAGTTTTTTGCGTTCCTCACGCTCTGGGCACTTTTGGCACGGGTTGACACATTTTTGACACTTGTGAGAGAGTAACTTAATTTTACGCTCTAATTACTGAAACAGCTCGGAAAGCGTATGGAACAAACCTATTTATAATAGGGAAGTTCACGATTTTAGGTGTAAAGTTGGCAAATGCTATTCATCGTGAACTGCCCTATTATAACTAGTTAATCGTGTATGATTTTGCTATACATTAAACACTTACGGAGATCTTTTTATTTGTTTCTATAACCTTTTGACAATTCATGCTGAAACCTAAGCATATTGTACTGTATGTAATAGCAGTAGAAGAGCTGTTTTGATTTATTATGTACACATGTACATATATGTATGTATGTATGTATGGCTTTAAATATGAGAAAAGCTATTCACTTTACAAAAGACATATTTTTCATTTGCTTTCACAGCGATAAACACGAACGACTGTGTAAATGATGGCTAGTAGCGATTTTTATGTATTCTCGCTACGCTAATACGCTAGGTTGTAAACTTAGCCTAATCCTGAAACTCGGCTGGCCGCCATATTAAAGCTGTATGACTATTATTTAGCTAATTTAACAATTTCATTATGTACATCGACTCAACTATGCCACTTTATAGATATTTTCGACCCTGTTTTAAACAGCGCATCTCTTAGAAATTAAAAAATGGCCAAAAAATCACTACTTTCAAAATATATTTTTTTCCTGATTTATTTAAAATCTTCAAATCCTCATCAATTTTGAGGCGCTCGATTTTTAGAGGGGGTGGGACCGAAATTCCCTCGACAGAATGTACCTCGTTTTCAAATTAGGAACTCACATTCATATATATTCGCGATTCTCATACCTGCATATTATGAATGCTGAGAGTTATAAAAAGAATTCCAAGTTGTGCAGATTAAAAAAGAGCTTCTGTGTAAATTTTATGTCTGAGTTAATTTTAAATTTGATTATTAGTAAATTTTATTCCTCGAATCTTTTCGTACTCTTCACACTCATGGGAATATATATATGCTAGAATATGATGTAAATAATTTACCATTATGGTGTATGATTTGAGCCAATTATGAGTACGTATTTTACACCAACGGAGTTTATTTTATTTTCTAGAAACAAGAAAACTTGTATACCACTGGCATAATATATATACAGAAAATCAGTAAAAAAAATTACGGTAGGTGTAAATAATACACGAAACAGCGGTATAACCTTTACACTGAATCGAAATAAACTGTTCAAAAACTGCGCTTAGAAATGGCATATTTTTTATATTGAAAATGTATATCACGTCGATGCAAAATATACACAAAATATTTTGGTGCATTTTTGACTTTTGTGCTACTTGAGTGTTAGGGCAGTTAACTTAGCCTAAAGGAAAGATTAGTCCAATTGCTCGAAAAATATAATCGTAGGTATAGTAGTTTTGTAACTGGACCAAATATAGTCCAAAAATTTAAAGCAATGTAATGTAAAACAGGTGAATTGTACTAAAAGTGGTCCGAATGTAATGCATAAGGTACGAGTTTTGTTCTGAAATTCGTTACAATGTCATGCAGTAGCGGACAATGGGTATGATTAACGATTTGCTGATATGTAGGCACTTACTCAACGAATTTTCATATGCGGCGTTGGCATGTAGAGAGAGTATCAGCTTAAAAAGTCTGAGAACCCCGGTTCGAATCGCAGCTGGCACAAGTTTTATTTTTGTTTTTCCCCCCCCCAAAATTGGGTACAATGTAATGCAGAATCGGACAATTGGTAAGAGCCTAGGACATTCAATGTTAAATGTAAATAGAATTTTACATGTTCTTGGACCAAACTTTGGACTAGTCACAATCACTTACAATCTAGTTTGTGGTGTGCTCTAAGTCTAAGTCTAAAGAAATAAATACTGTACCAGCATTCTGGTATGTTATATGCCACTAGCCTGATGGTGCAATCTCTTGATAGTGCCAGCAAGCTGATGTCGTGTATTTGCCCTTTTATATTCGCTCGCTCCACTATATCTGCGTTCACCCTTTTTTTAAATATCGACAATCCTTTGCAAGAAATAATTTTTTTGTTATTTTTGTACCAAAATA